TTAGAGATTGAAGTGTCATGCTTTGTCCTGGAGGTTTGTACTTTAAGTATACAACACAGGCTCAATGTAAATTTGGTTAGGACAGGCATTGAAGCGAATAAATTAACAGTCTAGATGAAAGCTGTGAGCATCACAGTGGGGATCCTTAGCTCTTCATAAAGTCTAAGTGCTTTTCAAGCATTGATCCTCTTCCCCTTGAAGGGGACCAAGGTGGGGGGTAATGGTGTAGGCGGCTGGAGAGGAGGACAACATAAAGGAGCAGGGAAGATGGAAGGGGAGAGAGAAATCGCATGAGAATGACTAAATTTATTATTCTCACAAAAGCTAAACTGTGGTGGCACTTCCACATAAACTAGTGACTGATGAGGCTACGATAAACACTGAAATTTTGCACAAAATTGCATTTAGGATTAGGGAAATGACTGAACAAATCATGTCCCTGTTTTGTCAATGAATTCTCTGTTAATGATTTCAAATGATTACTCTGACTTTAATATTTCACTGCAGAGGCTGAGCGTGTCATCTTCTATCGCTGGTCATCTTCGACTCGGAGAATGGGTGGGTGACATTGCAAATTAATGTGATACACTCAGCCTGTCATCTTCTTGTGTATTTCTACTTGGCTTCCACAAAATGCCATGTCAATGACAACTTAATGGTTGTGGATTTCACAATATTGTGAAAACTTGTTTAACAAAAGTACAAAAGCTTATTTATAAAGCAAAACAGAAAGCAGTCAGTAGCTTCATGCAGCTATATGTGCATGATGAGTATTTGCATTACCTTTTAGGCTGGCAATAGAATGAACGAGTTTGTTTAAATAAGATGAGACTTCTAATTTTCAGGGGAAGTCCACATTGGTATAATTCCCCTTGAATTGGTAAAAAATTGAAAATGTTTACTGAAGCACTCCATTAGTAATGTTGTATTTGGAATATGTTTTTGTAACAAGCTAGTTTCAGAAGTTTTCCATTAGAAGTAAGTGGCTTTGTATTTTCTACAGCTGTTAAAGGTCAGAATACTTACATTACTGTCAAAATATATAATTTAAATTAACTTTCCAAATAAAAGAGTGAAGCTTCCATGGCACAAAGCTTATTTTAAATACTAGAAAATAAAACAACTGAAGAAATAAACCTACGTACTTCTTTAGCCAACTTTAATCAGATGCAAATTTGAAAATTCTACTCCAAGCTAGTCATTTTATCCTGTACTATATAAAAAAAAAAAGCAAGAAAATCTTCCTCGATTGTGTATTGGGGATGCTAGTTTGCAGCAGTAGGACTGGGTGAGAGAATGGCAACGACATTCAATGTTGTTGCACCGAACAGAGGTCCCTACTTAATTTGCCAGAAGCCAGTGCAGCAGTGCTTTCTGTGCAGCATGTGAACACCAACTTTTCCAGTCAGAAATTCAGGCCCACACCTTCTCTGTTCTCTTCCCCAAATAGAAATGCAACTCAAGGTTTTGTGCTGCTGTCCTGCTCCAAGTGCCATGTGGTGATTTCCAAAATTTAACTGCTAAAACTTTCAAGCTTTGAAGTACCTGTTTTCCTAAGTGAAATAAATTCCTGCTCCTCCTCTTTCATTATGAAAAAGGAAATCATCTACACTTTTAAAACAACTAATGCTGTCTTACTTTGCACAGTCTGTGTTGGAATTGACTGTTATGTTCTTGTGAAAAGGAAGGAATGTGATCCAAGGTCCTGGAACATTCATATTGGAAAATTAAACATAGTTAGAGCAGCTCATGCTAGCATTTCAGTCCTTATACTGATTTGTGTATCATAAGTCCTATGGTAATTATGTGCCTCTGCCCTGGTGAGACCGCATCTGGAATATTGTGTCCAGTTCTGGGCCCCTCAGTTCAAGAGGGACAGGGAACTGCTGGAGAGAGTCCAGCGCAGAGCCACAAAGATGATTAAGGGAATGGAGCATCTCCCTTATGAGGAAAGGCTGAGGGAGCTGGGTCTCTTTAGCCTGGAAAAGAGGAGACTGAGGGGTGACCTAATCAATGTTTATAAATACGTGAAGGGTGAGTGTCAGGAGGATGGAGCCAGGCTCTTCTCTGTGACATCTAGTGATAGGACAAGGGGCAATGGGTTCAAGCTGGAACATAGGAGGTTCCGCTTGAGTATGAGGAAAAACTTCTTTACAGTGAGGGTGACAGAGCACTGGAACAGGCTGCCCAGAGAGGTTGTGGAGTCTCCTTCTCTGGAGACATTCAAAGCCCGCCTGGATGCGTTCTTGTGTGATCTGATCTAGGTGTCCTGCTCCGGCAGGGGGATTGGACTAGATGATCTTTCGAGGTCCCTTCCAATCTCTAACATTCTGTGATTCTGTGATTCTGTGGAACTCTAGCAAGGAGAACTTTCAGAATGCTTATTCCCTTTGGCATAGTTGTGGGCCGTTTTCTTTTATATGCAGATTCTGGAGTGGGTGACTTCTTTATTTTAAATTACCCATAGCTTGGTCTAGTAATTAGAGATAAAACAATTTCTTTCCTATCTTACCTTATAATTATAAAAATAGTGGTAGGCATGCATGCTTGTTATTAATAACGTCCTACCAAAAACCTTGCTGTAAGCTCTGAAGACAATGAAGTAAGATTATTATTTTTTGCATACTCTGTCTCTTAGTCATATAGGAGTGGCAAACAGGAAAAAGAATAGCTCTTTGGATGCATTAGTTTGTAATGCTAAAACCTGGATATCCATTTCATCTTAAAAACCAATGAACAAGACACATATGTTACTTGAAACACTGTTTAAAGTTATTGTAGTTTGTTCTTTGATAGCTTAATCTAAAATTTTTTTCCTCTTGATCAGAAGCTTGTTTGCTCTAAGTACCTGCAGCGTATTTCAAAGTGCTACTATCTATGTATATTATTTATGCTTGACGCTATCTTCCTGATGAAGCAAGAGTGCTTTGCTAATCAGTTTGTTGATGATGTCTTTTCAGATTACATCAGATGTGACTATGTGAATAGCCTAGGATAGCCCAAAGGAAGGACATGATGTCAGAATAACATACAAAATATTTGTGAGGTACGTGGGGTTCTTTTCTGTTGTGCTAAAAAATTTCTTGGTTGTCTTTAATACAGTTAAACAAAATGAATACAGTAATTTTATGCCATTGCATTTGTATTCTAAAGGAGCTGCTCGCAGAATTCATCTGAAATTCACATTTGTGTGGCATGCACAAATACCGCTTTATTATTTTTTTCCAAATCTTGATGTCTGTTCTGATTTAAGGTAACTTGTTGATTTGAGGAGCTGAAAACTTGCCTTGGTTGTAAAATAATTGTATGTTTCTTCTTAGGTATTGCACCTTAGCTGGAAGGAATTCCAAATTAGTGTTCTCTATGAAGTTTCAGAATTGGAGGGTTGGTTTTGATTCCCTGGTTCTTCTCAGACACTTCAAAACATCTGTGCAGCAGGAGGTCTCGAAGCACTGTGTTTAATGCATTGTTAGCGACTAGATCCGAGCACCAAAGCTATATTTCAGTTTGTTTGTTCTGTTTCACAGCCAGAGAATGTAGTCTACACTTAACTGTCTCCTATGAGTATCCCAGCTAGCTATTTTAACTGTTACTCTGGGGTTTCTGCACTGCAATCTGCATGTACTTGTCTTCATTTCTAGTCTCTTGGATTTATTCCTGCCTGGTTCTAGCATGAAGATTTAAGGATCAGAAAGATTTACGGGGCAGAATATGTTTATCTGAATTGATTCCTGGTAGATAGGACTGGGAGTTTTTTAAAGGATGTAAAAATACGTTCTCAGTGTGAGTCTCTTTACCTGGTAATGGTCACTGTGACTATTTTAGACTAACAAAGTGATCCTATATTCAAGGTCTTGGCATGTAAACTGAAGTGTCATAATTCCTACCAGTTGTATATAGGCTACCATTAATAAGGGGGAAAAACGGATTCTTCTGCGTGACTGTCATCAATCAATATAAATGCTTTCAAGTTTCTCTCAGACGTGGCCTTTAATAGCATGAATCAATATGAATTTTAGAGCACCGTATACTTTTAAAGTAGCAGGCTATTCTTGATGCCCAAGGTTTAAGCTTTAATTTGTCTGCTGTTTGTTGGTAGCACTTCAGTTCTTTCATTTCGTATCTTTGCTTGTTAGAGGTGCCTGGAAAATAATTCTGTTTTCATGAAAACCATTAAGGTTTCAAGTCTTGTTTTTGTTCCACACTGGAACAACAACAAAGCCCTAGAGGAGTTTTCATGAAATTAAATTAATTAGTGTGTTCTTTGAAAATCCGATTCATGTAATCCATTGCCGTGCTAGTTTAACCACTACCATTTGTTTCCCTTAAGTTCAGTCTGATCTGAGACCACTTTGTAAGTTATCCAGTGTATCATTGTAACAGGTTTGTGGGTTTTTTCAACACAATAGCACTTTTGTCAACAAATTTAGCTGCTTTCTGGCTTACTCTGTGTTTTGCTGTGAACAAGGTACTAGAACAACCTCATTTCCATTCTGTTCTTTCCTTCTGCTCTTCTCTGGGTTGCTGGAGCAGTATTAAAAGTCAACAGTCTGGCGCCATAATTTGCTCTTTTCTGAGAAACATGAGCTATAATTTAATGAAGATGCTGACATTTTAGTTTGAGATAAAAGACAGAGGTTGCATTTTTAACAAAAGGGGAAGAATGGTTTATGGGCACAGCAAGATGGAAATGAAACTATTTTAAAATCCCTTTTTCAAGCATTGAGGTTGCATGATAAAAAAGTTATAGGATTATAAAACTCAGTAAATGGCTTACAAAATTGCTCATGAATCTTTGTAAATTAGTATCTTTTGATTAAAGAAATATTTCATCTTTATGTAGTCATAGAATTGTTTAGGTTTTGATCAAAAAGAATCTCGGTAATCTATTTTGAACTTGGATATATTATATTTTACAGCAATAAAAACCGAGAGCCACCTGTATTTCCAGGTTCCTCATGCATCATAATAGTATCTTTGCTTCCTGCAGGGCAAGGCCAGAAAACCATGCAGTCATCAGGGCACAGATTCCGTGATGTTGAGCACCACCCGCTTCTTGCTGAAAATGACAGCTACGATTCCTCTTCCTCGGAGGCCGACATGGCAGAGAGGGTTTGGTTCATCCGAGACGGCTGTGGTATGGTCTGTGCTATAATGACATGGCTTCTGGTTGTCTATGCAGACTTCGTAGTGACTTTTGTCATGTTGCTGCCTTCCAAAGACTTTTGGTACTCTGTGATCAACGGTGTTCTCTTTAACTGCTTGGCAGTACTAGCTTTGTCATCGCATCTGAGAACTATGCTGACTGATCCAGTAAGTATGCGATCGTTCCTTGCTGTTGGATTGTTCTCTCCTGTGGCTCATCGTCTGCAGAGAAATTTGGTGAAGTGGTATCATTCTTCTCCTGCTAGGAAAAGTAGTATTAGATGCAGAACCCTCAAGTTGAGGGGATGGTATCTGCACTTTTCCTATTCTGTTCATGAATCCATAAATAGTATTTGTTAAATATTAACCCAAGTTCTGAAGAAGCTAATAAAGCTTTAGTCATTTCTGTCCTAATTTTTCTTAACTTTTTTCATCAGATATATTTTCAAAACTTCATAAGATGATGTAGCTTCATCCTGTTGTATCATTTGAAATGTCTGTTCCATTTACAGCACATGAAAGAACTTTTAGAGGTAGACATGCTGAAAAACCTCAGTCACAAATTGACATAAAGTAAGAACTTCTGTCCTACATGAATTATGCATTATTGTGTTTAGGTGTTTGGAATCAGTGGGAAGGGAGATTTAAGTTGAACCCACATTTGGAGCAGTGGAGGTGTAAGAGGTCTTGAAAGTACTAATTTCTTAAGATTTTACTGTTCAAGAGTTCAAGAGATGAAGTTGTTTATTTTGTACTAAAATCTATTGCTCTTTTTATGGAATAAATCTGGGGAGACAGGAGTGAGGGGAAAAACATCTGTTTTCTCCAGATTTTTGAGACAGTAACAGTGTGTGTGGAAGTTATGGGAGTGGTCAAAAAATCAGCAGGGTGTTGTAGTTAATGGTTTTTTAGGTCTTTGATTTACTTCTAAGCCCACACCCAGTGATGAAATGTTATGACTTCTGCAGATTGTGACAAGTAAGAAAGTTAATGGTTTAAGCATAGATTCCTTAAAAATATGTCCTGGTAAAACTGGGTGTCTTTCTAGACCGGTGTTCTTTATGGATAAAACATGATAGAAGTTGAAATGAATCACTACCCGTTTTTTTCTTTGCTGACTCCCAGAATGGAAGACACAATTGTGTGATAGAAACTAAGATTGAGGGGAAAAGGAATAAACTGCCTCAAAACATATGTGAATTAAATTTGTGACTATAAAACTAGATTTTTCATTGAAAGGAATTGGTGACTGTCTGAGACTATGAAAGAAGTTTTTGAAATAGAGCATATTTTTATCAGCAAATGCTAAAAGCATGGCCTGAAGTTATTGTCTGTAGTGACAGATGAATAGGTGACTTTGAGGTGTATTTTATAAGCATAAATTTACCTGGAACAAGATAAATTTTTGCTTTAGGAGTTCTCTCTGTCTTTGAGGTAATTCACCATGTCTACACCAAAGTATTAACTTAAATGAGAACATTCATATTGCAAAAAACCACTTCAGCAATACAACATGAGTGTTTAAGAAACTCTCTCGGTTCGCATCCCTGCGAAGGCCAGCTGGCTCAACTTTGAAGCACCACTTGGCCAAAGAGTTCATCTGGGGCAGAACTTGGGCTGTCTGGCAGGCAATACAAACACAAGATTGTTCTTGCAAGCATTAGGCAACAAAAGCTTTCTGCCTAAGTGGAGAGGTGTTTTGCAATTGAATCCCAAGTGCCTGCTGCTCTTTTAATTCTGTCCTGAAAACTTCCTTAAGGTGTCTGTGTCAAGTGATGATGTTGCCAGTGGGCTCTTTCTGCATGAGGAACAATTATAGAATGTTACTGATTTATTTTTAAGCCAGCCTGGTGAGAAGGTTATCCCTGTGTGCAGTAAGTGTTGGCCTGCAGGAGTTGGTACAGAAAGGCCATTGTACTTTCACCTCACATCCTGGTTTATTTCACAATCACTTCCTGTTACAGATAAGCCTTTAATTTTATAAGTATGCAAGGTGACAGTGCTACTTTCCATTATCTTCTTCTTACTAATACAAAGTTAGATTCCAATCTCGCGAGGCTTTAGATTAATATTGTCACTGGAAGAAGCAATCCTGTCTACTATTCCTGTCTGTTCATCATCTTCCTCATTGCGTTGAAACAGCTGCTAACACAGCTCTGTGGTGGGCAACTCAGAGAACTAATTAGTAAAAAATAATTTATTTTCCTGATGAGTTATTTTTCTTCTGGATCTGTTCCTTCAACTGTTTACCCTGTAGCTACACAAACTTTCATGGTAGCAGAAGGCAGACAGGGATACTAGGTGTAGAATAAAGAAGCCAGTGGTGGTTCCTGTTGACAATGTCCAAGCTAAAAGCATCAGTATAAAGGACAAGAGGATGGCTGTTCGTTCTCAAAAACTTGTGTACATGGGGCAGGTGGCTGAATCTTGGATTCGGAGAGTTGAAATAACATCTTCCAAGTGTTGTTGCTGATTTAACTTTTGTGGATGGCTTGGCCTAATAATCGAACATCACAACATGCTGCTTTAAGAAAGAGGGTCTCTTTTAGTAGTGCTCATTCCAAGTACCTTCTCAGCAAATATTGTTCCTGTACTGGTTGTATCTGCATGTAAAGATGTCTTCGCCTTTGTATTGTGTATGCAGGTGACAGCAGATCCTATCAGAATTATGCTAATACTTGGCCATAGATGAGTCTTGCTGAAATGAAACTGAATTTGAGGTCAAGCAGAGGTGATTTATTTCATTTGAAAGCGATTCTGCCTTGTGACAAACTATCCTTGAGTAAATGAACTTATTTCAGCACCTGTCCTGAGATTACTGGTGTGAAGTCTATAACATGTATTTTTAAACACTCTCATACAGTTTAAGAAGCTTTCTGTCCTTTAATTGAAATTATTTCAGGGGGCTGTACCCAAAGGAAATGCCACTAAAGAATACATGGATAATTTGCAACTGAAACCAGGAGAAGTGATCTACAAATGTCCGAAGTGCTGTAGTATCAAACCTGAGCGTGCACACCATTGCAGGTATGCCGTAGGTTCCTCTAAAGCTGTTAGGCATCTTGAGTCTTCGTGTAATGTTCCTGATATTTATATGTTAAATTTTTTTCCCACTCATTTCTTTTGATATCCAGTAAGCTTTCAGATTCATACATTGCAGAATATTTTATCAACATAATATGCTATGGCCAAAAATTAATATGGATGAGTGGAAAGAAGTAAGAGACTCGAGTTTTTAAAAATAATCATACAGTGGTATCTTAAATACTTTTTGATCTGTGAATGTTTTTTCTTGTGCATCATTCTAATGATTGTGCCATACTGTTGATAATGCAGGGCAAAGGGAAGAGTCTGAAGGAAATTTCTGATAGAAGTGGATTTAAGAAATGACTCCTGCAATCTTAAATCAGATTAGTTTTAAACTATCACTGTAATTTGTGTCTTTTTGTTTTCGTAGTGCATCATTTGAAGTTATACGTGAATTGAAAGATTTTCCCAAAGTTGTATGCATAATTGGTTGAATGCAATTCTGCTTATTGAAAATTAATTTTAATAAGGTGATGTGGTTTAACCCCAACCGGCTATAAGCACCACACAGCTGCCCACGGACTCTCCCTCAGTGGGATGATGAAGAGAATCAAAAGGGTAAAAGTGAGAAAACTCATGAGATAAGGACAGTTTAATAGGTAAAGCAAAAGCCACACGCGCAAGCATTATATGTTACGAATATCCCTTTGGTCAGTTGGGGTCAGCTGGCCTGGCTGTGTCCCCTCCCGAATTCTTGTGGACCCCCAGCCTGCTCTCTGGTGGGGTGGAGTGAGAAGCAGAAAAGCCCTTGACTCTGTGTCAGCCCTTCTCAGCAATAACTAAAACATCCCGGTATTATCAACACTGTTTTCAGCACAAATCCAAACCATGGGCCCATACGAGCTACTGTGAAGAAAATGAACTCTATCCCAGTCAAAACCGACACATCAAGACAGAAGTGATGATAATTTGAACTTAATATGCTATGGAAGGATAGTAAATGTATCCATTTTTAATTAATTCTCAATCTGTTGAGTTTTCAGGCATTATGGATATGCATGTGTAATGTTTATTGTGTGAGAGTTGAAAATAGATATGCCTGCATAATTACAGACTTATGTAAATATGTAAATGTTTCTGATGGCTCTCTCTAGGTGTGAGGAGTGATACACATCTCATTATGTGGCATATTAAATTTAAGTCTCTGCCTGTCAAAAGAACAGAGTGAAGTCTCGTCAGGACTCTCAAATTATTCTGTAAATTTGTGGTTTCTAAATTAATGCCTTGGTGTATGTCATTTATCTGTGTGAATGTTATGGCTGGGAAGCTATTTCCACTATAAATACTCTGCCTTGGCACTGAAATCTTGCTCTTCTCTCAGATGTGAGCGGGTTTTTGTATCTGGAGTGTGAAGGGAAAAGTTTCGTGTATAAATAGTCAAGTATAGAATTATCTGCAGTTAGTTTATCTGTGCCGTAGGTTAGCTTTTGCATGGATGCAGATACCAGGCATGTCTTCATGTGCAGTGAGTTTGGTTCTGGCTGGGTTTATGAGCTCTACCGGAGTGTTACATGAACACAACTGTGCTGATTGCTCGGGGGGCCTGGGTGTGGAAGCAGCACAGCTGCTTTCTTGTGGCAGAATAAAAGCTGTTAATCTCTGGGGAGCCAAAACAGCTCTGCGCGGTCTGTTCAGATATCATGACAATTGTGTTTGTGGGTGGCAAAGGGACACCTGAGAGCCTCTGCTGAGTGTAGGCTGGATCTTGCTGATTTTCTCATCTTAGATTTAGGCTGGCTCCTACAGAGACTTTGCAGGTATCTTTGTAAAGTGCTTCCCACATCTTCAATCCCAGTAGGATTTACTGATTTGGAAGTAGCCCTAAATGAAGGCAACTCTACATACAAGTGAAGGAGCTGGAGTGTTGGAGAGCCCAGAGGTGCTGCAGCTCTGTGCCCTGCAGAGTCCTGGGGTACATCTGGGCCATCCCCAGCAATCACTGTATCATCTTGGATGTTCCAGTAGCCTGTGTTCACAGATGAGGTGGTGTTGATTGAAAAATTGTTTCTTCATGGAAGAAGAATAAAAATAAGCTAAGTAAGGACTTTGAATACATTATTTGTAGCAGGGATTAGAGTTGCATTTATTGTTAAGGCAGAGAATGGATAGTGAAGGAAATCTGTGATACTTCCAAAGGGTTTGTTTTCACTAACCACTGGTTCAGTCAGGGACCTAGCTTTGCATGTTGTGTGAATTGTTTTACTTTTCTATGCCTTCGGTAAAATACACTCTGAGATGTTCCTCGTAAGGGCAAAGGATGCATTTTAATGCTTGCACGGTGTATAACTGGCTTCACAAAACATCTGAAAGAGAAAGCCACATCCTGACAGTGTATGTGCTATCCCTCTGTAAGTCTGCTGTCATGTTTTTTTCAGCAGTTGGATATCTGGTTTAATTGCTCTTATTTCTGTTACTCATACGATACATGCTACTAGTAGTTGCTGTTAACTTTTCTTAAGTAAAACGAAGGATTTTTCTGTAATTTTTTGAATGTTGAATACATACTGCGTAGACCAGCTACCAGAATCGGTTTCTTTGCCATAGATTTAGCACCACAGAAGTGTACCAAGTAGAAAAAAAGGTTTGTTTGATTATACTGCCAACATTTTATTGGCGTACAAACCCATTCCAAGGACATTAAAGGGATGGCCTGGTCCCAAGTAGTCAAAGTGGCAATTTGCTGAGAGAAGAGACTTGAAAATGGAAATTGAAGTTGGTTCGTGTCGGGAAATAGTCACACTCAAAGCCACAGTGCATGTTTTGAGTAGTAAATTATTAACAGAAGAGGCTCTTATGATGTAGTTATGAAAATTGTTGTGCAACACTGCAGCAGAAGTTCTTTTGAGGAAGAAAAATAGTTTCATAATACACATTAGTGGTGGGAAAAAGAACAGGAAACCTTTATGTGCAGCTAAATATTGAGCCTCAGTGAAATACATTAAACTGAGATTTTACTCAGCAGTTAACATTTTCAGCATAAGGAAGAGGCTTATCCTGAGTGAAGGCTATTTTGTTTTCACTGAAGGAGCACAACTGTCATTATTTCTAACCTGTCCTGAGTGCCTGCAATTGTGCATGGGGAACTGTTGTTCAGAATCAAGTCACTGGGATGTTTGCATCAGTCTTCCTGTGAATTGCTGTTATCCAGACCAATTCCTCATAAGCCATTAGCTGTATCTTTCCGAATGTTATCTTTGGCATCCAAAGCTGTAATTGCGCCTGCAGTTGCCAGAGTGCATTCAGCAGCAGTGCCAAGCTGGAGAAGACCTTCTCTTGTCCACAGGTGCTTGTTCTCGCTGCCATATTGCTCCTTCTGCTTGTGTAGGCATCAGTGTTCATGCACAGGGAAATGACCCTGGTTGCAGCTAATGGAGTGATTTCGACAGACTCTTGCCCCATGAACATCTGTGCTTGGACGGGGGAAGGAATATAATACAAGTGATGCGGGTGGGGAGAAGGCAGAACCACTGTTTTAAGCATTGCTGAGAGTTTGTTGGCTGAAAATGCTCATTGAATTGTGGTTGAGATTAGAAATGAAGGCAGGGTTCCAGACATCTGATGTCTCAGAGAGCTCTGCGTGGGTTTGTGAGAAATACTGAATGAGCAAAAGTGTGTTCTGCCCACCTCACATCCTCCAGTGTTTGGCTTGATTGAGTCTGGATATGATTTTACTCAGTACTTCACATTAATATTTTCTTTTAGAGTGACAGTAAATATTCTGTGTTACATTAGGAGGCTGGAGTTAGCTTACCTTCCCCTAGAGCTCAGGAAATTAGTGAGAGGCTGAACTTCCAGGCAGCAGGCTGTGAAAACGAAAATGTTTTTCATCTCATTCAGAGCCTTCCGAATGCCTTCTGTTGAACGATACCTGTTTCTTCTGCCCTGGAGAATGATTGTGGTGTTTAGTTATGGTATTGGAATTTTCATGTGTAACTGGCATTGAAAAGTAATTTGCATCAGAGGATGAATTGTCTTTAATATCCATAAAATGAGAGGCAGTGGGAAAGTAAGGGCTGGGTTATGATAGCTCAGGGCAAAGGGAGCTTCAGAGCAGCAGTGAGAGATTTGGGATTGTCTCACGTAACCTGCACAGGAGTATGTTCTGCCTCTTGCTGAATTACCTTATAAACCAGCATATGCAATGACTTAAAAATTATTCTATGCCTCGGAGCATTGATTTGCCGCACATGCACACACCTTTCTTCACTCTAGTGACAATCATCCAGCTTCACTTCGTGGCTTGTCACTGCAGCACTCATAGATATCATACATAAATAAATGTGCATTAAAAACAAAGGATTTTGAGTAATAGTGCCTGCATTTTTTAGGCTTTTTTGACTTCGTAACTGCTGAAATTAAAATGCTTAATATTTTGCAAGTTCTGCAGGAAAATCTGAAACACTTTGAGTGTGTGGCTGTCTTAAATACAAAGCTAGAAAAGTGAAATGTCAGCATTACTTGAGCCATTGATTTATGGAAGAACTTCATGTGTTTGCAACTTCTGTTTCTCTTGTATAGCTGTTCATCTTTGGCTGCAGATGGACCTGCATGTATATTTTTTTATATTTGATGTAGAAAGACCTGAAGCTTTGCTCGTTCCATGCCACAAGTGTCTAAAACAAGTTACTGTGTTCGCTTGGCTGTGTGTTTGGATGTGTAATGATTCTCAAACCAACACTGTTTTTCTTATGTGAAGAGTATCTTATCTACACAGTTTTATAACAAGCAAAAGCTGAGTTTTAAGTAAACAAATAAAATGTTAGTAAAATCACTGTTTGCAGTTTTTCAAGAAAATAGATTTCAGCATATCATCTTATTCTACATTAAAATGTGAAGTATTGTTTCTCAACAGAAGTCTTTCTTCTTTTCCTTTAGTATTTGCAAAAGATGTATTCGAAAGATGGATCACCACTGTCCATGGGTGAATAATTGCGTGGGAGAGAAAAATCAGAGATTTTTTGTTCTGTTTACGGTAAGCAAAAATCAAGAGCAGCTTGCTGTCAGTATGAATCTACCTTGATTGTAACAATTTTGGTTGTACTTAGTAGTGAGTAATGGCTTAAAGTCACAATTGTTTTATGTAATGGGTTATTTTTCCTTCTGTGCAAGATATTCTCCAAGCAGGAAGATATTTCTACTCATTTTAATCTTGTAAAGTGCTGTTATTTTAAACTATCTTAATTTTGCTGTTTTATGTAGTAACAATTAGTGAAATGGTTCTGTGATTTAGGGAGCTAATGCTTAAGCTCTCATTGTTGCCCACATTTTTAGATTCAAACTTAATTAGAGTTTGGTTTAACATCATTGTATTGAATTAAAAATTGAAATAGGGAAGTATATTCACTGCAGGGGTGAAGGCTGGCTGAAAGGAATGTATAGTTTACTACCTGTCAGCAGTCAAAAGTAAGCACTCTCTCTTATTTCCAGATGTATATAGCCCTAATTTCAGCTCATGCGCTCATACTGTGTGGGTTTCAGTTTTTCTCCTGTGTCCGAGGGCAGTGGACAGGTAAGCAAAAACTTCACTTTCATAGTTAAGTCATATGAAAGAAGAAGTCATGGCATCCTACCTTCTTCTGTCCCGTGTATGAAATATTACAGGACTTCAATCTTTTTAAAGGGAGGTCTGGAAAATGTTGAATTAAAATGATTAAAAAATGAAATTAAAAAAAATAAAGCAATTGTAGCAAAATGGAACATCTGGATTAACTAGCAGGTGAAAGCTGACAGTGGTGATGGTTTTTACGGTATTTGTGATGCATGAAACTTCAAGCTGCTCACATCTTTATATATGTGTGGTTCTGAGTACTTAAATCATCTCATGTGCAAACGTTTCTTTTGATATCCTTGAGATACTGAGGCAGGATTGCAGTAATGCAGTACCGTATGCTTTATAGGAAGCCAAATGTGTTACTTCCTTAAAATTCTTTATTTCCTTGGCAGCAAATAAAACTGCTGCACTGCTAGAAATCAGAAGTTTGTTATAAATGTGAAATGTTGTTTCAAGCGTCAGATATTTAGCTTTTATTGCTGTTTGTTGAAGAGGGGATATCTCAGTATGAGCATGCTCTATAGATTTTTTTTTAAATAACTACTTAACATCATTTTCACAGAATGCAGTGACTTCTCCCCACCTGTAACTGTGATCCTGATGATCTTCTTGTGCCTTGAGGGTTTTCTGTTTCTCACTTTCACTGCAGTCATGTTTGGCACCCAAATCCACTCAATATGCAATGATGAAACGGTAAGGACCTCTACTTTTGTGTGCTATAACAATCATTCCAGGAAGATATGGTCAGATTTTTTATTTGCATGAGGGGAGGCTCTTATTTTGGAGAAAACACCAAATCTGAAATAGCTCATCATTTTTATTTTCTACAGTTATAAGGATTGATATACTTTCTTGGGGGTTGCTTTCTAACAGAAGTTCTTGCATTATTTACTTTTCTGACAAAAAATTTGCAATTTGGGTTTTCAGTGACAAAGATTATGCAGCTCCTGACTTCAGTTTGTACTTGCCCTTCTCAGCTATCACAAACTGATATATGTCATGAGCAATGACTGCTTTTCTCAGGTTTACACTTTAACTAGCTGTCTTGTATCAACCCTTCACACTTTCCTCTACTTTGCTATGCTCTAATAGAGTATAACCATGGTTTGGGTGCTAGGCTCCCTTGCCCTTAGATCTGTTAAGCCTTGAGAGGGTGTGACAGATAATTGACTGGAAACATAAGGAATTTGAATCTTGCAGCTGTTCAGAATTTTCTTGTGTAAGGCTCTTTAAAACTGTACTTCTGTACTGAAGAGTAACTGTGAAAAACAATTGGCAAATGTCCAGCCTTCCTTAGTGGGAAGTACAAAAAATGGTCATCAAAAGAATGCATTTGGGAGACTAAGCGTAGCTCCAGTAATTGCAGCACAAGAGCCTTCTTGGAAGCCTTATTGCCTGTGTTCATTAACTGAGTAAACAACTTCTAGTCTAGGTGTCTTCCTCTCCTTTAACATCGGCTTTTCTGGTCATTTTGGGATGGGGCAGGGGGGAGAGGTGGACCAGCCTTCCTGTACCCCCATGGCTAAATCAGCCATTCTTCTTTCTTCCTTACTAAACAAAGAACAGAAAAAAGCTAATCGGATCACTAGCTATACATTAAAAGAATGAAAAATAGTCATCGGTTTTGATAACTGCTATTAGGCTTTACTAAACTTTGGAATTGAGAGTGTGTCACTGCATGTCTGTTTGTATACAGGAGATTGAAAGACTGAAGAGTGAAAAGCCAACATGGGAGCGGAGACTACGTTGGGAAGGAATGAAATCTGTCTTTGGGGGTCAGCCTTCACTCCTGTGGATCAATCCTTTTGCAGGATTTCGAATCAGACGACTTCTACAGAGAGCAAAGAAAGGAGGACCTGAGTTTTCTGTTTGAGTCTAATTACGCTGGAACTTGCAAGAGCACTATATAATATTTATTTGGGGCCAGAAGGCTGTCTGCATTTAATCTGTGACCAGGTGAAACTGATATCAGACATTTGCTTGTAGCAAGCAGAGTTTTATACGTTTATTGTCACAGACATCTCATTAACTTTCAGAGACATGAACTGGATCTGTTATGGTCTTAACAGCAAGATAACAAAGGAAAAGCACGTGGTCACACTAAAGAAGCCAAATGTCATGCTACTGTAATTTATTTTATGAGATTAATTATCCATTTTTGTTAAACCCTTTTTATTTGATAAATGTTTGGGGAATTACCTGTGTGTTTTTATAAAAAGTATATACTTAGGTGCAGTTGTCAATCATAAGGAGAAGCATTATGATGAAAGTTGATCTCAAATGAGATGTAGCCTTCTAAATCCAGTTTTCAGGGAATAGTGGTTTGTTCACTTTTAATTTATATTTCAGTTTATCCTAATTAACAGAGCTATACTCTTGTGTCCCACTTCAGGCACACATTCCTCATATGCAAGCGATTCAAAGACTGGTGCACACAGCAGCGTAACACATCAGAGGCACTGTTACACCCCTGCCGAATGTCTTCCAGGCTCACAAAAGCATGTCTTATGTTTGGCAGTGTTAATCTCATATGGCATTAGGTAACTTCTAAATATTCAGTAAAAAATACTTTTAACTAGTGGCTGTGGGCCAAATTCTGCCCTTGGATATGCATCTCTGATTCTTAATGCATTGATTTTGGAGGAACTGCAGTGCAGGTGTTGGAGGATTGTATCTGTCCTCCTGCAGGGGTAGGTGGGACCAGTGACTGTGTCCTCCTGTGTGAGATTAAAATGAATGTACGGCAGATTGGTGTTAATTGACTGAAAACAGTTGTCTTTGTAAAGTCTTGCTCTGCCCCTTTTTCATTGTACAGACTTTTTGTAGAAGGAAAGCTGTTAACTTAATGATCCCTTGAACAAAGATGGCAAAGGAATGAGGTTGCCTCTTTCTCAAGTGCAGCAGATCTTAAATGTAGAAAGATCTGCAATAGAAGGAATTATTTTGAAATTAACTGGTGTCCAACCAAAAGTACTTTCGAGAAATGAGAGAGCAATATAAATCTAGAACTGCTTTATGTGGGTCTGACAAACAGCAGTAGTGCTAAGAAATGTTTATAGATCCGCAAGTAATGAAATAGAAGCTGCAAGTAGTGAAATTCAGCTAAAAGTGGATTCTTTAAAAATTGCATTGACTATTTTTTGTATTATTGTTAATCTGTTCTATAAATTACTGACAATATAAAGGATAAAGCAGGAGCCTTGATGCATAGCTTAAAATCGTGCCTAGAAAGTAAATAACTCCCTATTCTGGGACTTGCCTTAAAATTGTCCTGTTCTTGCTTTTGCTTTGCCAGTAGCACTGAGGATCTGTCCCACCTCAAGCGGTTCTTTGAATCTTGCATTATAAAGTTTACGTACTACGGAAGCTATACTTTTTTTCGGTGACCTGCTTCTCCATTTCTTTGTAGCCGTTTGTGGCATCTTGATTCCAGCTTCATCAGGTTTTACACTATGGGGTGGGTGAAATTACTAAGGAATCCACTTATGATCTATGGCCCTGCGAACAAAACTGTGCAATACTTTGTAACATGTTCACTTTGCTTGGGGAAGATGATGTGTAACCCTGGAGAATCTCTAGGTGGACACATCCAGTGAAATTGCAGTCAAATGAACAAAACTATGTCTCATGTAACTGAGGGGAAAGTTGGGAGTTCCACAAGAATCTTTGCATATTCAGTTGCACATCTTAAAGACCGGGAAAAAAAAAAATGTGTCTGGCTTTGTCATGAGGCTCTTCATGTGTATATTGTTTGATTAAAATATCCTGAGGAAAATCAGAAAATATCACTTCAAGCGGTTGAACCCTGTGACTTAGCAAGTGTGTGCGTGTGTGAAATCAGGTTTACTTGGTTTTTTCAAGCCCTTGTTATGTTGTAATTTTTTTAATGTAAAAAAAAAAATAAAGTAATGAAGTCTTAAAGTTGATTAATTCCTACTCTCTATATGTCCTTTTTTGCACATATACATGCATATTCACAAATTTACAACATCTTCAGGAGAATGGTCTTGTGTCCTTTGGCTTGTAATTTAAATGTACGTATGTATCAAGTAACAGATGCTACTGCTCCAAATTAAGGATTCTACTCTGTTTACTAAGGATTTTAAGCTATGCTAACTGCTTAGCTGTTCTTAGGCGTTTCCTTTTCTGCATCCTCTGGTGTAACTGCTTATTGTATTAATATCTGTTTGTCTAAGGTGAGTGGGAAAACACACGGTGAATACTCCTGTTTGAAAACTTAACAGAGCATCTCAGGCTTTGCACCTTCGAGGTGTTGGTGTAAAACACAGGTCTGGAGTCCCTAGTTCCTCTGCACAAATGTTGCCTTTTTCCATTCATTCTGTAGCTTTGTATAGAAAACCAGCCAGGTATGCAGCAGAGGAAGCAGCTAGCTGTCCGCAGAACAACTGACCCAGCAAGGGTGTGGGTGAGGAGGAAAGAAGGTTTGCAAAGGCAGCAAAGGATGGAGAGTGGTTTATTCCCATTTGTAACAATTCTAAAAGATACTTTGATACCTTTCCTGGGTATAATGTTTCGTAGGCTGCTGTTGCTATGGAAAAAACAGCTCCAAATACATTCATATACACTTTGTGCCACTGCTGCTTGTGTTGTTCAGCAAGTTAATATCTGGTGATATTTGTGTGCCACAACAGTGAGGCTGTGCTGTATTTACATGTGTTTTAGGGAAGAGCTTGTTTACTCTCCGGATGGAACAGACATCTCTGCAGATGGAACCTGCTAATTTATCTCCTTTTTGTTTTATTTTTTAATTTCTAGTAGTCGTGTCAGGTTGTTTCATGAACCCTTTCTGAACTCAGACTGCAACAGTGGCAAGTGAGAATGCATTTATGGGCTTATTTACTCGTAGCCTGTGCGGAAATGTTGTGTTTCTATGAATGTTCTCACTTCTTTCTTTTGGCACTGTGTTAAAACGTGAATGTATGCAGTGCTGTTGGAGAAAGAAGGTGGCATAAGAGGTTTTGAAATGCAGAAATTCGACTGTAAAATGATTCCTGAATCTGTTAATAACATTAAAATGAAATGCACCAGCATTACAATTCTATATGTTTTTAAAGTGTTGCTACTCTGACCAGTGCATGCAATGTACTTTGTGGTTCAATATGGATTGGTGCTTCTTGATTGACGAGACTGGTTTGGATTTTTTTTTTTTTTTTGCTTATATCACTTATTAATTCTTTTGTGTGTGTTCTGAATTTCTTCAGGGAAAAGTACTGTTTGACGAGACTGGTTTGGATTTTTTTTTTTTTTTTGCTTATATCACTTATTAATTCTTTTGTGTGTGTGTGTTCTGAATTTCTTCAGGGAGAAGTACTGTCATTGCATTTTTGCAGTATGTCCTGACTGTACTGCACTAGCGTGTTTGCTACTGTAGTGCTAACAACTCTCATCGTATCCAAGTTAGAGCTCTGGAAAATAGTCAGCGTGCATTGAAGCATTCAGATAAGTGAAACTTTGCACCTCTGAAATATTTCTGCAGTTTCTCTTAATACTGTAGTGCAGGATAAAGTTAAAATAAGACTTGGATTCAATGTTAGGAAAGCCAAATGTTATAACTGTTAAGGAAATGGTTTAATTTGGAGTGGGGTTTGACAGGGAAGCCAGAAAGTTTTTTGCTATGAATCTATTCTGGCCCTTAATATAGCCCCCGTGTAAGGGGGGTAAATTATTCTGCTGTAAATCTTAACCAGCTGAAGGCTGAATCTGATATCTACTTATTCCTGGACAATTTTATTTTCTTCTCTCAGATCATATCTAAGATTGTTTATTACATCAGTCTCAAGTGAAAGCTGGACGATGCAGCCATAGGTGATTCTTTTTTATGAAAAATAGATCCCTAAGGTGACAATCCATATGGTATTTTCATTGGAGAAATCAAGAGAGAAACTTGAAAACTTGCTTTTGAATTAAAGAAAAAAGGCAAACTGTACATATAAAATATGAGAATATGGAATTTATTTCCCCCATAGATTTATTTTCTTACCATTAATGAGTATAAATGTACATTTCATTTCTAGAAAAGTAATGTGATCTACCTGATGGAGGAGCTGGCAGCAGTGTTGGGTTACAGTTGCATCTGTCATGCAGCAGGAACGCTTGCCGTACAACCTGGTTTCCAGATATAGCTGCTTCGAATCAGAGTTATCAGCATATAATGTCAGATCAAATTCATCATAGACAGTAGAAAAATAAAATATCGTCATCCTAGGTGAAATTCAACCCTGTCCTGAATGGGTTTCACGTTTCCCTTGTGCTGTAGAATAGTGACTCTGAAATATCTCCCCTGTGAATGGAAGGTGGCCTGAGAACGGAGTATTCCTCATTTGATGAAGGTTCAGATGCTCTTCCCAGCTTCTCTTTCAATCAATAAGATTGCATTTCATAGTGTCCTCCATCCGAGGATCTCAAAGTGCTTCACGAGCATTAGTGACATGAGCCTCGCAAACCCGGCATCTCATTTTTACCTTGAACAGGGCTGCCCGGGGGTTGACAGATTTGGGCGACGTGGCAGAACTAAGAACTCTCCAGCATGTCCTACTGCTCAGTACGGCCGCCCGTAACCCCTCAAGCTGTCTGATGGAGATCATTGGGCTTTTGCAGATGAGCATAAATTCTGTAGAAGTCCAGGAGTCTGCTTTCTAATTCTGTTCTGCTCATGCAAATAAACACCACACCACAGAGACAGTGCTTTGGGGAAGTCTGAGGTTGTGCAGTCATGTCTTGGGATCATTTAAGTAGTTGTAACATGGTTAATAGTTGGTCAACCTGCTGCTGATAAAGTTTAGTGCAGAAAACCCTTATGTCTGAAATATATTTTTCAAAATACGTGCCTCACAGGAGACCTGCCTTTCCCTTTTTTTTGCTGATTTAGAGCTTTGACATTTAGGTTGCAGACATTACAAAGGTACATAAAAATACAGCAAAATCATATCTGTGTACTGGGAAAAGGTTGTATTGGCATTTTTGTTAGGACTTGTATCTTCCAGGTAAGTTTGCAGGAAAAGTTTGCAGAAGATGCCAAGCAGCTTCTCGAGCTCCCTGCCCGGTGTGGGTTTCACCAGCCACCACGCTCTGATGGAGTGATCCTTGGAGCTGTCTTTGATGTGCAGACAAGAAATGTGCACAAATGACTCACAACTGGACTCTAGATATACTGGAAATTACAAAAAATAGCAAAATGTTGCCAGTCCTGACCCCAAATAACAACTGACCAGCATGATGCATTAGCTGGTCTCTGCGGAGCAAGACACGTCTGTGCAGAATACGGAAGCTTTGCCCTGCTGAGGGTTAGGAAGACATTCTTCCTAAAGCTTCACATGCAGCAGGAACAATGGGACTGCAATTAAATTTTTAATGGGAATAGATGTTTTCATACTGACAATTCGAGACACGCTGCACTCATTAGCAGTTACCAGGAGCTGTGTAAGGTGTTTGGTTTTATGAAGATAGCGGCCGAAGGCTTCAAAAGGGTCGTGGTCACACCAAGCTGATAACAAATGCAGTCAGGTACAGTCTTGGTCCTACTGAAAAGAGCATGAACCCCAATCGCTTGTGAAATGGGGGTGATGGCGGTGGGCAGACCCGTGGCGAGGCTCCCGATGCGGTCTGGTAGGTGATGCTCGGCTCACTTTTTTTGCGACCGGCAGATGCGGCTACAGGCAGGGGGTTGCTGTGCTTTGCCTCTGCAAAGAGAAAGGGCCCGGGTTCACTTTCGGCAGGGTTTCCACATTGCTCCCAGCTTCTCCTTCCACCTCTCCCTATAAAATCTCCTGCTTGGGTATCACTGGCTGCGGCAGGAGCTGCGCGACGGCGTTGGGTCCTGCGCTAGAGCCTAGTTTATAGTCTTCGCTGCCTGTGCTTGCTGAAGGAGATGGAAGGGATGTGTCAGGAGATGCTGTAGGAGAGACAAGAAACAGAGTTAACGTGGACCTGGATGTTGTTTGATGGAGCAGGAGCCTGGGGGGTGGGACAGGGGGATCCATCCCCAATTCAGGCGTGTTCATGCATATTCTTCCTTCCTGGTCTGTGATGGGGCACAGGGTGGGCTGGTAGGCATGGACCCACTCTTCTCCGTGTTTTGCACTTGGGAAGTGCTCCCTACTGCTTTTTAATCCTTCCTCTCCTCGTCAGAGGAGCGCTCAACCTGCTGGCCACTGCTTCATTTACAGAGCTCAGCATCTCTCTAATCTCCCTTGCTGCAAGGTGGCTTAAAAAAAAAAAAAAAAATTTAAAGCTAAAATACATGATTCCAACATTTATATGGCTGAGGAACAGCAAAATATGCTACAAGAGGTGTATGATCGTAACTGGCAGAAGGAGACCGTATGTGCACACATGGCTGTTAAATAGCAACTCATGTTCTAATTTTTTTCTCAGTAGCACGGTCCATTTGCTGCTGCAGTGGATAAACTCCTTAACAAAAAGCCCTTGTCTAGCAAAAGTGCCCAGAGTGGTTGAAGAAGGTCTTGTATTCAGGTCATGTCATGTGCTGGCTGACAGCAACCAAGACGCTTTACATAGAGAAACTCTCGCCACTAATAACAGCGTGTGCCGCTCTGGGGTATTTCCCAGTGCTGCCCGTGTTCGTGGAAACACACTGTCACCAATCTTGAGCTCTTTTTTTTTTTTTTCAACTTCTCTTTTAGAAGAATTTTTTTCAGGCTGCAGAGTAAAGGAGTCAGCAAGGGGGATGCTGTGAACTCTGATTCGAGTATTGCTCTTAAATATATAATCACAGAATAATAGAATGATAGAATCACAGGATGGTTTGGGTTGGAAGGGACCTGAAAGATCATCGAGTTGCATCCCCCCTGCTATGGGCAGGGACACCTCCCACTAGACCAGGCTGCTCAACAATAACAAATAATAAATAAATAAATAAGAAACCTAAAAGTCTTTTTGTTAACTGCTTCTCCTGCCCAGTCCCTTCGTTATACTGACACTATCAGCACAGAAATGGCCACATACGGTCTGGAGCGGTGTGAATCACAGAGCTCATGTTGCTCGGGAGGACGTGTCCTGGCAGCGGTTCCAGGTTGATGTTGGGAGGTCCTGCCTGGTACTGGAGATCAACGGTGGTTCCTGCAGTGGAAGTGGGAAAAGACATCATTCTTTGCATAGTTAGCCAGAACCCAGATGCTCTGGGCCAAGTTTCCTTTTTTTTCTTTTTTTTTTTCCAGAGAATGTGGAAGACCTGTGTGGGTGGGAGTTCATGTCCTGGCTCATTTTTGCTTCCTTTTTGCTGCACTGTCCTCTTTGCTCTCAGCCTTCTCACTGTCTAGGGACAACCTCCCTGGATGCTGGGGTTCCACCTAATAACCGACTGCCCTGTTCCTCTGGCTCCATGTGTGTCCCAGCTGCTGCTCTTATCAGGGTTGCCCATATAGTTATAACTTTTGCACATTGATAACAAAAACTGTGCTCTCTTCTTGCAATCTTCATCAGTTTGGTGGGTTGCCCAAAATTTGAGTGCCCCGCTGGTGCAAAGCACCACAGGATGTACCCATTTCTATAAAAAATGTTGCTGGGGCAGATTTTCAGAAATAAATGGCTTGGGGACTGGACCGAAGCGAGAAGGACTCATGGTTAAGCTACAGCTGAACCTCAGCCTTCGCCTCCCTCCTCCCAAGACCAAGTTCTCTCTACATCCTCCAGAGAAAGACACAAACCCAGACACAAAACCCTGTAATGCCTTTGAAATAAACCAGCCTTGCTGTCCTTTCTCAGCAGGGTTCGTACCTCCCAGCAGCATCTCCTGCAGCAAGCTGTCAATCCTGGCCACGCCGAAGAGCTTCACGAACTGGACTTGCTCGATCATCTGCCAGGTGATGCTCTGTAAGGGCGGCAGCAGGAGGAGGATGTCGCTGAACCGGCCGCGGGAGTCGTACTGGCGATCGTTGATGTAGTCCTCCAGGTTGACTTGGACCTGGAAGCGCATGTTCTTCACCTTCCCGGGCTCGCTCAGGCCTTTGCAGTCTGGGAGGAGGAAAAAAATGAAGTGACTTGGTGGTCTGTGTAACCAGAAAATGGGACCCTGTCGGTCGGGTGCTAGAGGGAAAAGGACGAGATGCTGGTGATCCTCGGACAATTACATCGCGGAGTCTCCGAGTTTATCGGACAGATTAGCGTTGGAATGCCACTGTTTCGTATCGCATAGGGAACAATAAGGGGAATTTGAGGGGAAACAGTAAGAAGATAAGAGCTTGCTTCAGATGGACGGAGTCTCCGAGTTTATCGGACAGATTAGCGTTGGAATGCCACTGTTTCGTATCTCGTAGGGAAACAATAAGGGAAATTTGAGGGGAAACAGTAAGAAAATAAGAGCTTGCTTCAGATGGATATGTTTGGCTACTGCCATTAGTGAAAAGGAAGGATGTAGAAGTTGAACTGTATTTGTCCTTCCGAGGAAATGACCTGGAATCTTCCCCTGAAAACTGCTGCCACTACATCCATGCGGGTTCAGTGCCTGTGTGCTGTAATTACACCCACTGCAGCATCAGATCTCAGCTTGATTTCCTGTCTTTGACCTGAGGTTGATGTGTTTTTCATGGACTGCTGGTCCAGTTTTGCTCAAGCAGGTAAATGTCCACTCTGGGTGGGGTGAAGTGCCGGGATTTACAGCTTCCTTCCCCTCTTGCTATCCAAAACTGGGACTTCTGGCTCACTGGAATATTTCCTTCCCTGTCTACAAAGAATCCACAAGCACCACATTTTAGGGATCATCATGCCAAGAGATTAGCTCAAGTTTTTAACAAATTTTTGTACGTCAGCATGTAACCCTATGGACACGCCTCCATGTTAATGTGAATGGATTTCACTTCTGTAGAGCTTTGCATTTTTCCTTTTAGATGAAATCACAGCGCCTCACTGCCACAATGCTCTCAAGCTTCACTGAGATACCGATCAGCTGAGAAGGTAATTTGTCCGACTCCGTTTGATAACACCACCCTGACTCAGGTTTACAGCAGGCTCTTTGGCAAGCCAAGGTTCATGATGTTCCTAAAACTCCCGTATCTTGATTTCAAACCAGCAAACACAGCATAAAGTGGCTGATGGAAGATGCTCTAATTTCTCCACGCTGATAGATCCCAAAAGGGCACTGTCCTGGACCTGGGATTTTCCCCCATCACTTCTCCAAGCTGCAGGGCAACACACGCTGAAGGACTGGAGTGTTGTACCGAGAGGAGGTTGTGTGTGTGCCGTAGGCATGGAGAATTCTGCAGGAGTGTTTGGGGGAAACCTGGCCTGAGACAGAAACCCCCACGTTTGTGGAATGAGAATACAGCAAAGGCTCAAAACAAGCTGTTGTTTGTGTCTTTCCCTGTTCTCCAGCCTGTAGGGATCAGCCCTGCCCTCGGTCAGTACTGGCTGCCAGCAAGATCCATTAGCAGACAGCCTTGCTATTTCCGAGTACTCGGAATGGTCCAGCTCTCGGTGGTTTTTAATGCTGCTTTCTGAGCCCTGATGGATGCTCCACACTGCTGCTCGGTTGACTCCACTTATGCATAATTCACTCTAGGCATATATGTCCTTCATAGCCATCTCCTTCACTTCAGACTGATGGGCTTTCCTGGAGCCAAGCTACAGAAACAGCAAAACTCCTCCAGGGTCTGCAAAGTCTTGCACATCCATCTGGCTGGAGTTAATACTCGCTAAATAGTGAAGTGGTCAGGAACAGGTCACCTCTAACATGTCCTTGCTGCTCTACTGGGTATTGCTCATTGCAGCAGAGGCAGGGTGAGATGCAGAGCTGCTGCCAAGGGGTTTTCCTGCTTATTGGAGAGCCCTCAACTCTTTTTCAAGCCCCGGCATTGCTCAGCAATCAAGAAGGAAGCTTACCTGGGTCAAAGAAGATGATGGCTTTAAGGCAAGCGTACTCATTGTCATCGATCTGGATGTCCCGCAAGGGCTTCACCAGCTCGTCCAGGATTCTGGTGGCCACACGGGCGATTTCCAGCTCTGGGCAGTGCATTGGGATGATGAAGTCATTCCCTGGGGAGACAAGAGAAGTTTTCATTCTAGCTCTGTGGACAGGGTCTCATTCCAGAAGTCACCCCAAGGCATGTTTCCAGACAGTCCCAGGGCCCATATGCAGCAGATTTCCAGTGTGCAGCTTCAGATTCAGATTCACAATTGAGAAACAAGCCGTGGATCTCATTTTTTGGTCCTTAATTATCTCATTTGCATGTGTCAGTGCCCCCACACTGTACACAAAGCCTGCTCCACGTTCTGCTCGTTTACCCTGTTGCACTTAGCATCTGTTTGCAAGTGGTATTGCATTTTTTTGTGTGTCTCTTTTTTTTTTTTTTTTTTAATTTTAAACAAAGTTCTCCCTCTTTTCCTTAACGTGTGGCTTTCAAGGCCAGTATTCTCATTTTTCCAAGAATAATCCCACCTGTGTTTTTGGTGGAAAAGAGTTAAATGAAAAAGAAATACCTATAATTTTTAATAGACCTTTCTGCTAAGGTTTTAAGCACTGATACCCAAATACTTCACTGCCTGTGTCCTGACGATTTCAGACACAAAAACAAGGCAATGCAGCTTGAGATGCATTTAGATATTGGGAGTTTTCTCATCCACAATTTCAAAGCGGTAAGGGAAGAGATGTAAAAGTCCCAGTGAATCTGCTTTCTCCTTTTTTACGTCTCTCCAGAGACATTCCCAAGCACTTAGTCTCCAGCCAGATGTCCAGACCATGCCCAGGAGTGCAGAGAGGATTTCAGGCAGGCAGGATACTTGGCAGTGACTCAGGTGTGCAAAATATAAAAGCAGGAGCATATTTCACTACTTTACCTAATAACAGAAAATCGGTGTATGGTATGGACCGCTTGGCCACCCCGAGGAGCAGGTGTTCCCCTGCGTGGGCTCTGAGCAAGGCAACCTGCAGGTGGCACAGAAGAAAGAAATAATACTATGTTTGAAAAGCAGAGAACAGAGTGGTGGGCTGGTGCTGTTTAAATTAAGCCAAATTTGGTGTTTGCTTAGATATGTCAGGTGTATAGATAAAGTACTATTAAGAGCTAGAAATTATTAGTGTATCTTCGCTTTGCAGAAGTGCTACATTCATGGCAAACTAAATAAAAAGTTGTTTTCAATTGAAAAAGCAAAGAGGGGCTTAATTGGAGTTCTTAGGCAATAAATAGCTTTTTCTATTCAACTATCAGGTACCAATAAAGGGACAACCAGTCTTTTACTGGGTCCTTTTTTGACTGCAGTAACCAACTCTATTGTATTTTGGGGGACTTTGGCTACTCGACTTATTTTCAATCAATCCCTTGTCCTTTATATTCTCTCTCTCCTCCTAGTTTCTTGCTCTGCACAGGGTGATCTCTGTGTTAATGACAGCTTCTCCTGTTGCAAGGTACGGCTGGGAATTCCCGTCGAAGGTTTGTAGGGACGAGGAATTTGCATTTTACCTGGTCATCAAGCGGGAGCTCACAAAACGCTGGGATGTATTTTGCCCATTCAACCAGCACCAGAAGCTGCTGTTTCATTGATTCGCACACGTCGTTGATGGTCGCAACCTTCTTCATTGCAATGTCCGCACTGTGCACCGGGCTCGGCGATGAATACTGGAAGAGAAACAACCCAGTTGTGTTGGAACCAGATCGGTGCTGGTTTGCCATCCTTGACCACAACGAGAAGACGTTTGCCATTGTGGATGCACACTGATGTGCTCAGCGTATCCTGTCCAACACACCGCCCATGGCGGAGCCTCCACGAGGTGGTGCTCAGTCCCAACACACACCCCTCCCTCCTCCTCCTCCCTCCCACTCTCCCGGCTGGCTCAGGACACAATCTGATTCATATTCCCATTCCTAGCAGCAGCCAGCAGCACTGGGGCTCAGCTTCCCATCAATCCCTTAAACCAGCCAAACACATGAAATGCATCCAGCCTTTCTTCCCCAAGTTGCTGTCTGGGACAAAACCCCCCAATTTCAATCTCTAAAGAGCTGGGTGGGGAGGAGAGGGTTAAAACATAATCATTTTTGAAGGGGAAGTGGACAGACTGCTGCATGGAACACGCAACATCTGGACTGCGTGTTTCAGTGGAGAAAGGATATTTGCATAAGAATGTAACGGACACGCAGGGTGAAATTCATTCTGGAACATGAAATAAGAAAGCAATCAGCATTAGTTGAATCCCGGAATTTTTATTAGCTTTATTTTTCTCCCCTATAATTGTTGCCCTGGTGAAGAAGTTACTAGAAGTAGTATAATTGACCATGACGGGAACATTATGTTCTGAACAGGACAGAGCAGGCAGCAAGGAGGGATAAACTTCTGCATGAAATACAGGGAGGTTTTAGGGGTGCAGCAACAATTCAGGCTGGGAGCAGAGGGGACCCGGGGTATGCAACATCCTCCAGCCCTCAGAATTGCAGTTTTGCATCCCACACACCAAAGTCTGTATCTGCTCCATGTTGCCTTGATAATGCACCAAGGATTGTTACTGTCTGCTTTTGCCTATTTTTAATGCATTTTCTTCCCTGTGGCTTTGTGCAAGAGCCATCCAAGGGCAGGAAAATGTCCAGCCCTGGTTGGTTTAGTGAGTTTATAACCCCACGTGGAATAGCTGGAGGCTCATTTGGAGGGTTGTCCCCATGTTTCATACCTGCTGCGCCATGGCCTCAGCCTGCGTGAGCACGTTGATGGAGAGGGAGCTGTTGTCCTCGTAGCTGCTCCTGCGGATGCTGATCCTGTCGCGCTCGTTCTGCACGGCTGAAACGACAGCGAGCACGGGTGTGTTAGCAAGAAACTTCCCACACAGCTGATGGCTGCTGTCACCTGAAGTCCCCAAAGAGGAGTGGATGGTGTGCCTGCAGCACCCTCTGCCCTTGTTGGATGCTGGAGTAGGATTAAACAGGTCCCTGGGGAGAGGAAAAGGCCACCAGAGAGGGGGCAGACCAAGCGCAGGAGCAATGGAGGGAGATAAGGGCAGTTGGCAGTTAGAGCAGCATCGGTGGGACGTGAGCTGGTCCCACTGGGTTGGATGCAGCTCACGGGGAGTTTGGGCATTTGATGTTGACACTTTGCACTTGGGCAAGACAACAAGTTCAAGGCAACAGTCTTGAACTGTTAGTGACACAAGGCACCTTGGCCACACTGGGGTGACCACAGCAGAGTGCAGATCAGCCCTGGGCTTTTCACAGACCGAAAGGTATGAACATGCCACAATGAATTAGAAAAAAAATGCCAATTTTCTGAGGTCTTCTCCACCCTTTAAACCATCCTGTTTCCCTGCAGCACAAGCCACATCCAGCCCCACGCTCCATCAACCCTTCACGTTGAACAGAAGGGATTTATTGCACTCCAGCAGTTTATTTTTGCAACACAGGCTCCAAGAACTGACTTTCCTCCACTGCAGCCATCCAGTAAAACAGCAGCAGAGAAAAAAACAGAATTTAGACTTAGTCCAACCTTGGTTTCAATGTTTCAGCCCTATTGCCTCCATCCAGCAGCACACAAGCCCACATGGGGCTGGAGGAGGGAGCTGAACACAGACTCAGAGTTTTCCTAACAGCTCCTATGTCTTGGCTACGTACAACCCAGAAAGGGAATTGTCAGGTCCTTAAAGCAGAGGGAGCGGGAAGATTTAGGGTGTGGTGGTAACGCAACACATCCCTCCTCCTTCACAGGGCAATCCCAGGCTCCTTTTGGTTTATTTAGGGGGAATGACTCAGACAGAGACGTCAAAGCACAACTCACTCTGAGCTTTAACCCCTTGGATGTGAAACAGTGGGGTTTTGTCTCAAAAGTGGCCACTGGAGAAGATTTTTCCAGCAATGATTTTTTTTGCAAAGTCAGCAAAATCACTTCATCCTTCTTTCGAGATTTTGCCATGCTCCCAGGCTTGCTTTAGAGCAAGCATCACTCTTTGCACGGGGCATGTTTCTCTGAATTCATGCGAAGGAGGGGACACACAGGGTGGGAAGGCAGGTTTTTTTGTCAGCTCAGGTCCAGCCACGGCTCTGTTTTCCTAACCAACCTCTGACAGGGGCCAACAAAGTGAAAGGGCAGAAAACAAGCAGCAGTGACAAAAATCAATATCTCCCGTTATCAGCAGGAGCGTAGTATTTGTTTTCCAGGATTTGGGGCTTAGCCTTGCTGTCAGTTGGGACCCTCTCGCTGCTGAGCTGGGTGTGCTTGGGGGGGTCCAGCCACCAAACCCATTTTGCACCTCGCAGCCAACCTTGCCTGAATGGCTGCATGGGACTGGATGGTGACATCCATTTGTAAAAAAAATGCAACACATATACATATTATTGAGTCTTTTCAGGCTGTGGATACTACATAGAGGCAATTAGACATCAATTTAGAGAAAAAAAAAAAAACCTTAGGAGGCTCTGCTAACCTACCTTAGACAGCATCAGACATTACCCTGTGCATGGGGGTGGTGGTGGAAGAAGCTGTTCAGCTGGAAATCCCCACCAGTCTGAAGGTGAAGGTGGTTGTAGGAACCATAATCTAGGATTAATCTTCAGAATAGATTAACCCTTCATGGGGTTTTTTTTTGGCACACCAGAAAGATGAGCAGCAGCATCCAGCATTGGGTAGAACCAAGCCCACCCAGGTCCATGTCATCACTGACGTCCTTGGAAAGTCCCCACCCAACCTTCTGTGCCTGGTTTCATATCAGATGCTCCCCCATGTAGGGGTGATGAACCTCTTTTTTTCCCCACTTACAAGAAGAGATACAGATTTTACCTTTCCAACCAAGTTACACATCATATTTTACATAAGTCCTACAAACTCAGCCAAACATGGTCCCAGCCCCCGATAACAGACTCCTCTAAGAAGCCTCAGCTTGTTTTTCTCCCGAGTCTTTTTATGGCACATATTTCAGTGCTTCCCTCATGCTCTGATAAGCTCAATCTTCAAGTGTAAGTGGATGGTACAGAGCGACTTTCTCAAGGTGATTGGGGTGTTATCGCTGAAAGTACCCAAGATGTGATGGAATTAGATACAAAAGGGAGTTAATGTTTCACCTGCCACAAAATTAATCTATTACTGTGGGGTAATTATATTGCTGTATTTATTGTGCCTGTAAAAGGGAAGGGATAGGTCAGCCGTGGTGAGGCATCGGGAGTGCTTGAGGGGTGTGCTGGGCTCAGACATGATCTTGGCTTTGCAGCCAGTACAACTCAGCAAACTTGCAGGAAGGACTAAAATCCCCGTGCCGGACCCCACTGCCTCCCAGAGAACACTATTTCCATACATCCTTGGCAAAAGCTTTGCTCACTTATTTTTTTTTCTCTGATCCTGTCCTTTCCACAGCACTCCAGTTCCCAAAACCAGTAAACACCAGGAAGGGTCACTGCAGCCCTACATGAGGGGACATCAGTGGGAGCGAGTCCCCACGATGCTGCTGGCCAGGGACAGCACGGCCCCGACTCAGCTTTCCCTGGGGGAAAGGGAACAGAAGGCCGACAGTGCATGCATCTCCCTCTGGGGAATTGTCCACGGCCACGGCATGCCCTGACTATGGGAAGCAGATGGGAAAACAAACATATTCTCCGTCTGATGTAGAGGAGCCATAGGAGGGATGCATCCAGGATGGCAGCGGGTGGGCAGGCTGCAGAGCACGCGCGGCAGCTGTTGAGCAAACAGCGGCGTGTTTGTGGGATTGCAACAAACCCGTGTTTCCCAAACATTTTGTCCTTGCTGCCTTGCCACATCATAGGGACAGAGCCTGGGATGAGGAAGCTCCGGGGAGTCCGATAAATACGGGCAGAGGCATTGATCGGAAGGAGCCAGCAGCAAACCGGTAACTTTCCACGGCAACTGCAGAGGTTAAAGCTCTGCCCACATGGGAGTTACCATTTCCATTATTATTCCACTAAAAACATCCCCATTTAACGCCAAGGGAGTTAGAAATGGATTAATAAATGGCATAAAGAGAGAGCAGGAGGAGGAGGTGTGAGCACCCAGCCCACATTCACCAGTACCCACAGCGTTTCTGTCCCCACCAATAAATTACCCTTTCTGCTGCCTGATTAATTTATATGCACAAAGAATTTTTTTTTCCCCCAAGCTACCTCGGATTTTGTGGGTGTGGTATATTTTATTTGCAAATAAATCCCAATGGTACATGCACCTGTAATCATTTCCCGGGCTTCTGGCCTGATTTATGGCTGTCACAAAGTGGGGAAGATCCTTTAATTTTCCATCCATCTTTGCAATAAACTGCAGTCTCAGCCTTCTAAAAGCTGGCAGAAGAGATGTGCAAACAAAAGGTATGAAACAAGATAGAGGTCCCGTGAAACACTAATAAATCTCTCCCGTAAACCTGTCCAATTTAACAAAAATAAATAGAAAATAGCTTCAAATCCTCCCACCGTGTTGTGGCCATAGGTGATACAATAATTCTTTTTAGTTCTGCGTATAACTAAAGGAGTTCATGTACATTCATAAATTACTTTAAAGGGGATGAGAGGTTAAATATTAACCCCTCTTTTTTTGCCAGCAAACTGAATCCTGACAGTGCAGTGCTGGCATTTCTAAAGACTTCCAAGTTTTCAGATTTTCAACTCCCTGTGAGTAGATGAAATCACACCCTGCTGATTTATTCAAGGTTAAACATGATCTTAGTAAGATGCTAAAAATAGCATCCTGCTGTTTTCTTTGGATGTTTAAGGACCTGGTACACTCCTCGTTCACTGATGCTGTCCTGACCAAAAACCTGTCCAGCAGCATTGCACAAAACAATAGAAATCGAACCTTCTCCTGTGCAAAGGGAGAAAATCAGAGAGACCAACCAGAACACCCCTGAACCACCCAGACCACCCTGCTGTGCAGTCCCAGCCTTAGCCACCAAGTAAGAATAAAGCAGTGAAACTCCTGTCAAAGTCTTAAATCCTGATCATAGTGGTGTTTCAGGAGACAAGAAGAGGTTTGCGTTCAAGCAAGCCTTTTCTTCTCCCCTCATCCCAACTTTAACGATTGTTTACTTGTAGTTATTAAAGCGAATTATTGATATCAAAAATGTAATTGGGATAGTAAAGTCCCCAAATGAGCTAATTTATATGAAATCTGGGGACCGAACTTTCCACAAGACTCAAGTTTTGGCCCCTTCTTGCTCTCACTGGTGCTGATGGAACTTGGATTCCATCTCAATGCACAAGTCTGGAGGTGCAGGGCTCATGTGTGGGACAGTCTTGGTCCTTTCTGAAGGCAGGAGGGTACAAACATGACAATCTAAAGGACCCCGCTGATGCTTTTCTCAACCACCTCTGCCCCAGCCCCATAGTGAACCTACAGCCCAACTGCACTGTGCCCCCAGGACCAGCCCATGCTGAGAGCCTCGGCCCTGCACCTGCACTCTGCCCCTATGGACACCCTGTTTAAAGCTCGTATTTGCATCATATGCCTTTTTTTTTAGGCAGAAATTTCCCTTCCACCAGGCGAGATTGTATAGCCCCTCTCAATCCCTTATGCACTAGAGTTGCTTCCAAAAGAGAAAGAAAGATCCATATGTGTCACATCACTCTTACAACACAGGGAAAAATTCCTCTGGATCCAAAATGCCAGTTTATCAGTTAGTTTTGCTGGGAAACAGCAAGTTTTCTGAAATTGCACACGCACCCGTTGAGCGGTGGGGCCGTGGGGAGTGTGCGGGGGTGACACAGCCCTGCTAACCCCACCCCAGGTGTATTGTCACAGACAGGCAGGGAAAAGGATCATTTCCAGCTTCTTCTCCTCTACTGTGAATAAACAATGCTATTACCACACCCTGGAAAGTCTGAACACTATTATATGATCTGTCTGAAAAGTGATGTGCCAGAGAAGGAGGCTATCAAACTCTTGCGTGCCAGCGCTGGGACAAGAGGAGACATGGAGAGTGGATGTCACAGCTGCGGTCTCATGAATTGGTCCATGCCACCAACAAATTACGCACAAACATTTGTATCATCCTCATACTGCCCTATCCCAAGACATGGCTTCTCTTTTTCCCTAATGCTTCGCAATACTGTTTAATATTAATCTAGAACCACCCTAAAGCAAATAGCTGTGTTCTTTTTGTGCACACAATTGTGCAAGAAACTTTCTGTCGTGGTCCTGCACACATGCTTTGGATATAGCTCTGGTCAGCGAAGCTGATTTCTGCAAAACAGTTGCTCAAGGTGCTTTAAAATCTTCCTTCCCAAACACAGGAGCAGTTTGTGAGCACACAACCTGACTGTGCACTCATAAAAAAGCTTCAAAGAATGTGACTATGTGGAACTTGAAATGAGTCATCTCCCATTGGGCTGCAATCAATAATGAAGGCAAGAGACAAGGTTTTATAACTTTTACCATAAGCACAATAAAAATCATGCTTCACCTCAAAGAATGGAGCTGATAACCAGATTTCAGCCTTTCCTTCCTTGCTGCACCGGCAATTGGCTCCATCCTCATCTATGACTGACCAGAAATGCTTCTGTTTGGTCTTGATTACTTTGAGGGCTATTTTTTTCATCAAACCACCAGGCATTTTTGCTACACCTATGACCTATGCCAAATTGCAAGACACCCTTATTCTCCTGGAAAACATATGGTCAGAAGGTTGTAAAGATTTTTTCATCACCAGTGAAATCTTATGAATTACCAGAAATCAGAGACAAATTTCCCCTTGGTCCCAGCGGGACCATGATCTCACCCCGTGGGTAAGGGGTGTTTAACTCGGTGACACGAAGAGGAACTCCTCTCCAGTTCCTTTCTAGCTCCCTCACCATCGTGTTCATGTCTGTAGGCTGTAACTTGTCCTAAGGGTGAGATGGACGATGGTGGGTCCTCACTGAGATTGTCACAGCTGGGATCAGGAGTCGCAGTAGCAGGGATTTTCTCCTGTGAAACAATTAGAGGCTAAATAAACCCTGAAGAAGCCTGTTCCTTTCCCAGTATAAAAATATCCTAAAGAGCAGCCTCCCAGGATGGGTGAATGCTGTTGCAAAGCTCTAATTTAATTTCCCATCTGAGACAGGAAATGGGGCTTTCAGCTTCAACAACAAGAAATCTCTCACTGTGACACACAAGCGTCCTCCCCATGGGCCAGGGCTGCCGCTGCCCTCCACCGTGCTCTGCAGTGGGAGCAGGGCCAGAGACAGCACTGAGTGGTTTGCAGATGTCTCTCTGCACCTACCTTCTTTCTTCATGCCAGCTCTGAAGCACTTCTTCAGCCTGCAGTACCTGCACTGGTTCCTCTTGTCTTTGTCTATCACGCACTGTCGGCTGAACCTGGGAGGAGATGGGAAATAAAACATGGAGCATCCAGCCTGGTGTCTGCACCCCGTTCACCCTGAGCAGCCCCAAACACAGCCCCAGACATCACTGAGCTGCACACTGCCTCAACCCAGAGAAGAGCCAACGGTTTCCAAGAAATGGCTCAACTCAAGGTTGGCTTAGCCCAGTTCCTCGTCTTCCCCACCGCCGTTCCTGCCAGGGAGCACAGCGATCTCAGACCACCCACCCTGCGAGGACTGGGATGGTTTTGGCTGTGAAAACGTGACTGTGACTCAAGTGATGCCAGTGCCTGGCAGTGTAGGAAACCCATCTCCCACTTTCAAACAGTTCCTGGGTGTTCAGTGCTGGAGCTCGTTTGATCCCACTTGTTAACAAGCCCTGCTTTGCGAACAATAATTACACTGTGGACCGCAGCCCTTTTGTGTCTGCAGCCACACGTGGCCTCCTAATTCCTACTCGTTTTGACAGGTTATTTAGGAACCTATGTGCTGTTCAAGGGGTGGCCCGTGTAGGCTTGGCAGCTCTTGCCATGGTGGGTGAAGTGATGGAAGAGGATTCTGCCGTGCAGAGAGGATACGGTGTGGGTTGCTCCTGGACCATCATCGGGTTGTAAAAGCTGAGGCACTTTTCCAGGCTGGTAAAAAGCCAAAGGTACAAAGACCAGAAGACTTTCCAAGGAATTTACGTCTGCGATAAACAACAGAGCTCAGAGCTGGGCTAAAAACAGCGCGGCTCACCTAATAAGGATGTACAGACAAGCGAGCATTTGCCGTTTGCTCGGCTTTGATGCTGTGGATGTTCCCTGAGCTGCCAAATATCGCAGAGATTCATGGATTCCTGGGGAGGGGCAACAACTCTGCTCCCAGGAGACTGAGATGAAAAAGAAATCAGCAGGAGCTGTTGTGTCCTCCTGCAGGGATCTCACAGTTCCTGGGATGGGCATCATGTGGGTGGACACTGCTGTCACCCCAGGACCCTGGTGTGTCCTGAAGTGATAAGGAGCCCAGAAGCATTTTGAACAAACAGGGTGACTCGCATTGCAAAAATTTGGAACACCATTGCAGAAAGAAGAGCTCTGGAACAGAAAGAAAACTTCCAGGTTTTAATTAGAGATGAAGGGCTTGAGTGCATTCAGGATTTTTTCCTCCCCTTCCTCCTGTGATAAAATAAACACCATTTTTCTAAGGTCAACCAAGATAGCAGCTGTGTAATTTATGTCCTCCTCTTGGTGAAAACATTCTCTTAAATGTGTACCTGTGTGCCAAAGTGGATGTGAATCATCACTGGTCCACGCTAGGTTCTCAGAATGATTGTAAAATCATCACTGAGATGTCAGTGTACGTAGTTTAATGATTTCAAAGCAAAAATGGAGACACAGTGGGGGAGGTGGAGGCTTTGGAGGTGGCAGGTTCTTGGATGCTTGTTGCTTTTTGCTGGGAAAATCAAGAAATATTGCTTTTGAGATGAAATCTTGGGAGCTTTGGTCCTTTGCCACCTTGGCTTTCCCTTGCTGGGCTGTGATAAAGTTATGGCATCACCCCACACCCAGAAGCTGTGCTTATGTATTATACACCCCGGTCAATCCTCAGGTCTGTAAGGTTTCCCATGATTTACACCATGGGGAAATCAGGGACGGTGAACTCATGAAATGGATTGCTCAAAGGTGTCGGGGTCCAAGATGAGATAGGACTTAGCTTACTCCTTAGCTTCCCATCTTCCAGACAGAGGCTAAACTGCAGCATTACTCTGAGCATTCACGGCGTGGTAATTCAGCACTTGGGGCCCCGTTGTACAACCTGATCTCCACCCCAAATTATTTACAGCCTCCATAAATGGTCTTTGTTCATTGCAGAAGGGACAGGTACCTGCAGGAGTAGACGTGGTTCTTACGGACGCTCCTCCTGAAGAAGCCTTTGCAGCCGTCGCAGCTGGATGCCCCGTAGTGTTTGCCAGTCGCCCGGTCGCCGCAGATGGAGCAGAGGGAGCTGATGCCGTTGGTGAGCAGGTTGGTGTTTGCTGATTCAGCTGTGATGGCCTCTGTGGGCAGAGAACAGGGACAGTTAGACCTCTCTGTGGTGGAAACCAGAACAAGCTGAGGGCAAGTTGATTTTTTTAAGCAAAGCACTGACCCAGCCCACACACATGTGCACACACAGTGTGTGATGCTAGGAAAGCCTCCAGACTGGTGGCTGTGCTCTCCTCAACCTGAACTGAGAGTCACTCAGTTGCTTTGTGTCTTATATCAATGTTTTTTTCAGTGAACAGAGAGATTTCAACCTGCATAACCCAACAGAGTCTTGAGAATTTACAAATTGCCTTTTCTTTTCTTGACAGATGCAGAGAAACCATACCTGGATGTGAGGGATGGGGAGCCACCATCCTCCCTAGTGAGACACCTGGAGAACGCGGTTCAAAGCTGGTGCCCACAGAAGACAGTAGCAAGAACATCATTAACGTGAATCAGGAGAAAGCAAAGAAGGGACAGCAGAGGCAGGAAGGGTGGACTGCTTCATGACCGTGACAGAGGTGTTGGAGATCAAAGGCTGCACTTGAGAGCTCCTCTGCAGCTGGAAGATGGAGACAGCAGCTCCCACAAAGGTCACTCCAGTTCTCAGGCTGGTTCCTGCTCTGAATTGCCTTCTGAAGAGGCTCACTGCTTTCCACTGGAAAGCAACAGAGGGGTGCAGGAAGATCGACCTTCTAAATTAGAGACCTAAAATTAGGTCACATGAATGCCCTCTGTCATGTCCTCTGTTTGCACCCACTCATTTGGGGCAGGAATAGCTCTACCCGTGCCTGGCCTGTGTATACGCTGCTGAAAGCTCCCCTTTAAACTCCTCCCTTGGCCTTAACCACCAGCCTTGCTGCCCTCTTAATCCTCCTAATTTGAGGCACAGCTTGGGGAAGAAAAAAAAGGAGACACTTGAGAATACCCAGATGACAGTGTTTACATCTCACCAAGAGGAGGAATGTTTGTGGAGTCTGTCCTGACCTGGGCACTCTCTGCAGGACAGTTTTATGAATTTATCGCACCTCTGGGAGCGTGTTCTTCGCTCCAAGGGAGCTGATCTCATGCTACAGTGACCTCAGCAAAGCCTCTGGGACAAGACGCATCCTGCCTTGCAGAAGGGACAGGCAGTGATGAGAAAAGCTCAGATGCTCTCGTAGCAATGACAAACCTTAGAGAAAATTACTCAAAGCAGAGGAATTGGCATCTCATCTGGACAGTCTAGAGAAAGTTTTCTAATGCATGGTGCATAAAAATAGCTTTGGGTAATCCACACACAACACGTATATGTACAGAGAGAGAGAGAAAGTTATTTTTGTATATGAATACACGTCAAAAATTTATAGTGAAAATATTTGCTGTGCAATTAAAATTGTAATCAAAAGCCAAAAAAAAAAAAAAAAAGCCAGTAAGGCAAGACTAAGACATTTTTAGCCAAGACTTCATAAATGCAAAGGTCAGACTTCCTTTTACCCCCTCAAAAAGCCTTTTGATCCACGTTTCACCTTCTAATGTATAGATGAGTAAATAGGTGGTTGTAGCAAGATGGGAGCAACGCGACAAGAAAGAATGACAGCATCAAAATCATTCTGAGGTCATAATGACAGGAACTGAGATTTACGTGTTCCCAAAATACGTATAAGATGCTCCCAGATCTGACATTTGTCAGCAAGTGGCTCTTGCGTCCTTTGGGAACATCATCTGTGTCAGAGGTACTTAATAGCAATTTATGTTGATTTTTAGGTTTTTTTACATTGATTCTTCATTTTATTTTGCTTGATAACTCAGTATTAAATTAGCTGTACTAGAATATTTCTTCTGTACTGCTAAATATTTGTGCATCTGTTGCACCATCTATTTTTTTGAAGGAACATATGACCATAAACCAATGCACCGAGTGTGCTGGACTCCATTTAAAAAATTGCACAACAAAAATAAATATAAGGCAGCCAACTTTCTCTTCACTCTACTCATGCTTTCTCTGTTCCCTTCAGAGGAATAAAGCTGAGGCCATACAGTTGGGGTCTCCAATGGACCCTTCATCCTTCAGCTGGCTGCAGATTGCAAAACGGTCCTGATGCTGGAAAGCATTTACTCACCAGAGAAGACTTTTTTGGATTATGTGAGCAAGACATGTGAGGAACTGCTTGCTGGTATAAGGAAGTAATTAATAATCCGGCCTCAAACCAAGTATTACTGGAGAAAGGACCACCAGCACTGAGCACGTGAGGGTCCATGGAAGTTAGCAAATTTTGCCCCCATTTGTAGCCCATGGGCTACAGCTGAGCTGGGTGGCTCTATGTTAGGGCAGACACAGCTAAGAGTTCAGTCCCTGTTAGGTAGCCACGTGTCCTCTTCAGCTTGGTTGAACGTGAACAGAAATTTAAAAAACATAAGGACAAAGAAAGCCCTCACCCAGTTTGCACAGGTTAATTATGACGACAAATTTTAATTACAAAATCCTGTCTACCAACTAATGATGAGTACCAAATGAGAATTAGAGAAGAGCAAAGGCACAACTGACATTGAGTTCATCAGAAGACTATTTCAATGTATCTGGGGAATGTCTGGGTTTTCCCTGGACTGATCACTGCTAGGAAAGGCAGAGGAAAGCCAGGATCCCTACCAGCACAGCTGTCTGCCAGCGAAATCAGCTGAAGACCAGACCATTTACTTCAGCCCTGCCTGACACAAGGCGATAACCTGCTTGGAGCTTCATTGATGGTCGTGGTTCTCTAGAGGGAGGGCTGCCTGGAGCTCAGCACCACACTGAGGTGGGCTCGAGGGCTGCTAGGATGGATCTAGTCAGAGTTCAGCTGGCTCACAGCAACTGAAACAAGCTCACAGCTGTCCTCACCACCCTGGAGAGATGCTCAGAGATGTGTATTGGTTATAGACCCTCATCACCATGGTGTAACAGAACAGTTCCTAAGCTGTGTCACAGTTCCTCTGAAGTTTCTCCTGGAGAGATGCAACTGATGACGTTCTCCAAGAAGAGACCATAACCCTGCACGCATCCCAGGCTGAGCTGGAGACCAGTGGTTTACTCCTCACTAGGACTAGGCATTCTGGAGTGTCCTGGACATTCACTGTCAGAAAAATCTGAAGTTTTCAACCATCTTTTGAGAGTTATATAGAAGGAGCGTGCAGATTGGGAACTACAGCTTACCTAGTGCTGATGAGAGTATCCTAGTGGCTTCACCAGCTTCGGGGTTAACCAAGCTTGCAACCAAAATGCATACACATTTTTGTTACCTGCTGCCTCTGTATCTAAGTCATTACCTGCCCAAGGCTGAAATGGAGATGCCAAGTTTTACAGTGATAAGAGATGACAGTGAGGATGGTCTCAGTGAAGATGCTGCTGGGGAATGGGGTCTGGCTTCCATTCAGGTCTGGAGCTCTGCACGTTACTTGACCACTGCAGAGATCTTTGCTGCTTTTCCTTTTGGTTATATTACTGGCTACATCTCTTCTAGATGCACACTGTATAGGAGAATTACCTTGCAATACTTTCCAGAATGGCTTTTGCTTTTATCTACCCGGAAATCCAAGCCAGTCTTGGTGCACATAATTTGCCGCAAACAAATCCTCACATTACATATGCTGGGCTAGAATGTAAAGAGATGGTAAATGTGGGTTTAGGGCATACACACGCAGTCAAACTTGGTGGCCAAAGCCAGCATTGCGAAACCTGTGCACACAAACGTGGGCTTGGATGGGGGCTAGCACCAAAGCTAGCATGTGCAGGTCAGCAGCGGCTTTCTACATCAGCTTTTAGCAAATAGAGGGGGAGGTTTTGAGATATAAAGCATAGCTTTGATTTAGTGTTCCCAAATCCTACAGTAACAATGACAAAGAGGCCAGCCAGAAAGGCCAGAGCTCTACGCAAGCACTCATGCAGTTTGAGGGATGGTCAGGCACCGTCAGAATATCTTCGATGGCTTTTCCGTGGTCTGAATTGGGTCAGGCTGCAGCGGGGTTGGGAAAGGTGTTTCGCCAACCTTGTGCCAAAGTGTCAAGGATCAGCATGGTGTTTGAGTGCTGAGAGAGGAGAACAAGCACCACTGTGGGAGAAAGTGTTCCCTGACACTCGACTAAAGAATTAGTGCAATATTTCAATGATGCTTCATATTTTAAGCAAAATGACAACTCTGACAAGAGCGTGAGGAAATGGGTACTAACAGCACATAAAAACCAAGTGAGAATATGGCTCATAATGCCAGCCAAGGTAAAGGAAACAAATTTGTGCAGAATGGGAAAATTTCTGCAGCTACAACGCATATTTTATAAAGGAAAGACTGGATTAGTATTGATTTTTGTTCATTTCCTTTTGCCATTCTTTCTGTTTAAAACAGACAACCTTTTATACTCCTCCTTCACTCCCATAGTGGATTCTATTCTTTACTTTGAACTGGTCTCAAAATGTTCGTCAAATTACAGGCTACTTAAAGGTGGAAAATCCAAGATATATATCCAGGAAAATCTCAAAACAATAGCAGCTGCCTGAAGCAGAAGGCTTAGCACTGGAAGTGCTCTGCATCATTAACTAACCAAAAATTCTGATGAAAAAATATTCCAAAGAAGGAAACAGTTGGTTTCCAAAAAGTGTAACCTTATTTGAAAATATTCTAATTTTCACTTTTAAAATCATTCAGAGTTCTGAGTCCATTAAAATAAATATGACACCCCTTCCTGTTTGTGTTTATAGAGGGCAAAACTGCCAGTAGAGTTAGTGGGGGAAATCTTGCATAATGGGAAAGAGACAGCTTAAAACAATCCAGTAGATTTTTAAAAATACCTAAAACGAGATTATTTCTTGATTCTAACAATCTTAAAAATATTTCTGAAACTACAGAATATCTGTGTGAACTGTTATTTTGATTTACCTATGGGAACTAAATGCAGCTGATTAGCAATGTATTTTCATGCATGGACATTTCAAGTCTTTTTTGAAGTTACTTTTACAAACTGTAGAAGAGGACACTTACCCAAGACAAACAAGCTAATTTCAAAACAGCTAGATCCTGAGAGAACCGGTTACTCATTAACAGCTAGACAAATAACACAATACTGATCTAGATAAACTTCAGAAAAAACTCAACCTGTCAGTTCCACTGCATGAAACAACAGAGAGCCCCAGGCAGGTTTTGATAGTTAATTTGCAAAATTACATTGAATTTTGAGGAAATTTGTACCACTCTAAAAAGTAAAAAATAGTTTG